TTGCCTTCCTGAAGAGGCAGGCTGAGAAAAATGCCTGTAGAGAAGGGAAGCTGGCAGAAGCTTTGGTAGAGGAACAAGAGCTGAGGGTAAAATATGAGGAACAGCTGAAGACTAAAACTCAACATGACTCCAGATTCAAGGAACAGGAGGAGTAGATCAAGTCTCTGAAGAATCAAGTCTCACAATTGACAGCAGAGTTGAAACTTTCTTTGAAAAAAGAACATCATGAGGCTTCCTCACAACCAGAGGAGTCCATGAAAACTGCAGCTTCCTGTCAAAAAGAGGCACACATGCAAAACAGGCCCCAAAGAAACAGATGTGGTTTCACAGCTAGAGGCCCCACCATGAAAACGGGAGACAGAATACAAACGGAGGCTTCAATGCAAACCCAAGCGTCTACATCAATGCTGGCCATCATCTGAATACAAGCAACCATCGTGACACAGGTCTGTACATGAACCAAGCCCTCCCGACACATGGAAACCAGCATCCAAACAGAGGCCTGCATGCAAAGAGAAGATTTCCTCCCTACAGTGGCTATTAGACAAACACAGGTCACCAGGTTGCCAGAAGCACTAATGAAAAATCCAGCTTCAAAGTGTTTTCTCATGTAAATAAAGGCAACAGCTTTTAATATGTGCATTAAAAAAACTACAAAAAAACACTACAAATTAAAAAAAAACTACAAAAAAAAAAAAAATTACCCCTCCCTGAACCGCCACCTTATCGTGGTGGAGGGGTTTGAGTGCTCAGGTAATCCCAGAAGCTATGTTGTCGGGGGCTTTAATGCCCCTGGAAGGGTCTCCCATGGCAAACAGGTTTTGGGTGACGGGCCAGACAAAGAGCGGTTCAAAAGGTTCTCAATAAATTTGCCATAATAAATACATTATTGGGATAAAACTGTGAAATTCCCTTTTTGAAGATTTTTAAAGTTGTAACAAAATGTGTCAATTCATACATATGTTTAAACAAATTATATTTAGAAAGTATAAATGTTACAAAGTTCATGTTATATTTTCCTTATATGTATTGTTCATCTTGTATGACTGATATATATTGATATTTTCATAAAAATATGTTTGATAATTCAATTGAACACAGATTGTTATTTTATTGCTTTGTTTCATCTGTAATTAGCTTCACAAAGGTTATTCAAATGTTTGTTTGGGTCAGAAAAAACAAGATTTTATGTTCTTTCTGCTCCATTTGGCTTATGATAAATGTATGGCAAAGTGACTGTTTTTTCTAGGGAGTTTTACCATGGAGCAATAAATCTGAAGACATTTCACCCCTGCACCTTCAGATGGGGTGAAGGTCTCTGACTGTTTTCAGAGGCAAATAGGTGGGAAGAAGTGCCAGACCTCCTCTGTATCCCTGCAAGGAGGTTTTGGATAGCACCCCTTTAGGGATTGTATCATTCTGCTTGGGAATCTTAATTCCCATATGGGAAATAACAGTAATTCCTGGAGTGGTGTGATCAGGAGAAATCGATCCAAAGCTCTATAACTGAGTAGTGTTTTGTTATTGACTCATTTAAATCATGAATTGTCTATAATAATTTTCTCTGGTCCCCTCCCTGATCTGACCATTGATGAAATTAGCTGCATGTCGTCATTCAACTGCTGGTTGTCTAGGTGGTGTTTTTTTGAGGAATGCCTGGTCTGATTCAGGGAGACGGCATCCGTCCCACTTTGGATGGTGCAGCTGTTCTTTCAAGGAATCTGGCCAAAGTTATTAGTCCTCCAAGACCCTGACAATCCAGGGTGCAGACCAGGAAGCAGAGTTGTAGTTTAACACACGGCTCTGCAGCTTCTCTACTGTTACCCAATCATTACTGTATCCAGACAGTGTCTTTCCGACAACCAAAATTTAATAAAGTATGAAAGATTCCCAAAGGAGTAAATCATGATAATCTAATTAAAATTCAAATAACACCAATTGAGAAAAAAGTTAAAATGACTAAATGTGGTTTATTAGGATCTCTTTCTTCAAAGGGTCTGCTAGTTATTGATTTGATTAGTGATAATCATATTTATTTATGTTGCCTTAAAGAAACTTGGATGCAGCAAGAGCATTATGTGAGCATAAATGAGGCAAGTCCTTCTAGTAATTTAAATTTTCACATACCCAGAACTTCTGGTGGAGGAGGAGGAGTAGCAACTATCTTTCAGTCTGACTTACTGATTACTCCAAATGCAGTTAATAATTGCAACTCTTTTGAACATTTAACCCTTAGTTTCCCTCATCCAAATTGCAAAGCAAGAAAACCTCTTCTTTTTGTAACTTTGTATCGTCCACCAGGTCCTTACTCTGAATTTTTAGAGGAGTTTTCAGAGTGACTATCTGATTTGGTTTTAAATACTGACAGGGTCATCATAGTGGGGGATTTTAACATCCATGCTGACATTGAAGGTGATGGCTTAAGTGCAGCCTTTAATGCTATCTTAGACACTATTGGCTTTGTTCAAAATGTGAATAGTCCCACACATTCTCATCTTTATACTTTGGACCTTGTGGTGACATATTGCATAGAATGTGAAGAAATAACAGTATTTCCTCACAATCCTGTCCTCTCTGACCATTTTTAATAACCTTCAGGATTACTTTAACAAAGTTCTCCTCCCTCAAAAGAAGGTTTCACTTTAGCAGGTCATTATCAGATAGTGCAGTCATGAATTTTAATGCTGGGAAACTGGAGAGAAAATCATGCTCCACAGGGCTATGGGAACCCTACCTAGTCTGGGAAAATAGTTCCAGTCCTTAAATAGCTTTTAAGGTTGCTGTGATTCAACCTTTACTAAAGAAACAGGCTCTTGACCCAGATGACTTGGTTAATTATAGACCTATATCCAATCTACCTTTCTTATCAAAAATTCTTAAGAAAGAATTTTCCAAACAAGTTTGCAAACACTTACACCATAATGAACTTTTCGAAGAGTTTCAGTATGGCTTCAGAGTTCATTATAGCACTTAAACATCTCTGGTAAAAGTCGCTAATAATATTCTCATGGCCTTGTATGACTTGTATCTATGTTTGTCCGGTTAGATCTCAATGCTGCATTTGACACACTTGATCATGATATTCTTTTAGAATGACTTGAATATTTTGTAGGAATTAAAGGAACAGCACTGCACCAGTGTAAATCTTATCCATCTAATTTATTTCAGTTTGTTCACGTTAATGATAGATCTTCCTCATGCTCAAGGGTTACCTGTGGAGTACCACAGGCATCAGTGCTAGGACCAATTCTCTATACTATATACAGTATATGCTCCCAATCGGTAGAATTATTAGACAGCATGGGATTAATTTCTACTGTTATGCTGATGATACTCTGCTATATCTGTCTATAAATCCTACAAATCCAGATGAAGCTAACCCATTACATAGATTACAGGCATGTCTTGAAGACATAAAAACCTGGATGACTCTAAACTTTTTTCTCCTGAATGCAGACAAAGCAGAAGTCATATAGTCTTTCAGGAAGAAGCTGATTAGTCGGTCACTTCATTTGGATGGGATTAAATTGATTTCAGATAATAAAGTAAAAATTGGTGTTATATTTGATGAGGACATTTCATTTAAATAAATTTTGTCGCCACAAAACAGACTCTTTATTTTTTATATATTAAGTTTATTCTTCTTCCTTCAACCTTAACGGCTGGACACATCCACACAATATAGGTGTCAAAACGCCCGTCTGGGTCCTGGCAGGTGAGCTATCATTTTTAAAGCAATTGGAGTTACTATGGTGATGTAATTCACACAAAACCAAGCATAAAAATCCCATATGAATGAACGAGGGAGAGGGGAGAAAGAAAATATAAAAATCCACTATTATTGAGCCTTTGCTATGTGGTCATACATTCACCTAGAAACACAGCTTAAAGATAAATCCTTCATCTTTCAAACTGAAAACGTTATGTTGATAACTGCTACAGTTTTTCTAAAATCAGTCATCAAGCAACACAAAGTTTGAGAAAAATCCTGAATCCAAGAGCATGTCACATGACTTTTCAGACTGAGGGAGAGACATTTTTTTTTTTTTTGGATCTGGCATTCTAAAAATTTTCCCCAGCTAAAAAAAATGCAATATTGATTGTTCTTCTTTAGTGAGATTAGCAAAGTTTATTTTATCTTTTTAAATGAAAAGATGACTTAGAGATTGAAATTTTAACAGATTTTTTGTATTTTTATTTTTTTGTTGCTTTACTTATTTATTTATTTTTTTACCCAAAAATAAAAACCAAGCAGATCTTATTTCTTAAAAAGCAATCTTGTATTTACTGGTGCCTAATTATTTAAGCTTTCTAGTGAAAATCATTTGTGAGAGGTTTCATGCATGATACCAACCCTTGCTGGCACATCTGGTTATTTGCTTCTCCATTAGCTCCCCTGTGTTTGGCTTTAGTGCACTTGGTTTACATTAAGATCCCCATTAGTGTCAGAGATGCTGTTTGATGCCCCTTAACTAAGTGGGATAGTTAAACAGAGGGAAGAGCTCAGCCTCTTCACCATCTCTAAAAAGTACAGGTGTTTTTTACTGGGACATGTGCATGTTTCTTATTATTTTCTAATGGTTAGTACTTCTAAAAGGGACTGTTTGCTTCTGTGTGACCAGTTTTCCTGGATAAGAGTAAGTCCGGTTATACAGGCTGCTCCCCTCTGGAACTTGTCTTGATTGGTTAGGGGATGACGGGGTGGGAGAGGCGATCTGTCTGTTAGGATCTCAGCCTAGCTGAGTCTATAGGGAGTAGAGCCTTCACAGCCTCTTCCTCATGGAAAGATGAGGTCTTCATTACTGATAAGCCTCCTGCTTTGCAACCAAGCGGTTTCAGATTTCCTTCAAAGATTTACTAAATGGATCTTTGGACAAATCCTTAAATGAAAAATATATTTTTTTTCTATTTCAAGACTTCTGTAACAAAGTGGAACTCAGGTTAAGTGAGTATCACACTTAGCCAATCACTGGTTAAAGAACCAATTATTCTTTAACCAGTACCCCACCTGATTTGTAAAGGATTTATACAAACGAAAACCTAAGTAAAGTACACCTGACTTGTGCTGAGAGGAAGTGGAGAGCGGAAGCTAGAATGAGGCCTGAGGAGTCCGTAAAGGAGGTATGAAGTGTGGGTGCAGCGAGAAGAGCAGGAATCAGCTGTTTCGATGTGAACTTCCAGCACCATGCCAAACCTGCTTTCAGCCCTGCACAAGAAAAACAAGCTCCTTCTTCTACTTTTTATGGTCTTCAGCAAGCAGGTATGGTGCTAATTATTGTCAGATAAAATACCCAAATATTTCTCTTTATCTCCTATTATTAAATGTGTTTTTATTCATATATGGTAGGATTTTCAGATGAAAACTCTCATTAAAATACACTGTTGAGCACCTTAATCGTCTTTGAGAGTAGCAGTGAAGTATCTGAACTGACGAAAGACATGAAAGATGAATAGAATTTTCAATGGAACTTAAATGAATTAAATGGTCCTTTGCTGGAGATGTCTCTTCTTGATGAGTTAGGGATCAGATTGCTCTTTGTCATTAGGCTTATGAGAACTTTTGTGCAGAATAGAAATCAGAATGAGCATCGAAGTTTGAAGTTTAGATGCTGCAGTGGAACTGATCTCTCAAGAAACAGAAAATCAGCACTAAGTGGTAACCATGGGAAGTTTAAAAAAGTCAAGCTACATAGAAATAGACATAGACAATAGAAAGATATATTAAGTAGTATGAAAAATTTTACTTTTTCTCTAAAATAGAAATTGCTTGTTAAATTGTCTGAACAGGTTAGATTGTTACTTTAAGCATAAAATATTGCCCTAAAATCTATCCTGATCAAACACTCCCACCAAGTGGGTCGATTCAGAAACTGCAGCATCATATCCTAAAATACCTGTCTATAGACACTAAGGAAATACAACAGAAATGTTGTGCAAACATAAGCGCACATTATGATCAGTTTGAAACTAGTGGTGTCAAGCATTTATTTTTGTAAATGTTTAATGTAAACTGTAAATAAGTACATAGCAAATAATTTATGTTGAAATATTTTTACACCTCTATGGTTTACAATATGATGACATTTAACCAGGAAATATTTAGAATAGAGTAGACATCATCGAGGAAAATTCCCCTGAAATTAATATTTTGTCCATTTAGTAATCATTTATATATATTTTAACCTCTACATCTATTCAACCAAACATGTCATGTTGATATAGTAAATTCCGGATTCATTCCCTATTAATGTCAATATGCAGCTTTACAGACATAACAGGCCAAAAAAAGTTGTGTATTCTGTGTTTTCTGTGAAGAAGGTAGAAAAAACTGTGTCCTTTAACATCAACTGGAGCATTGAGTTTCTTTGTAGCTTAAAGAAAGTTGTATAACAGATCTAAGAGTTACTGCTTGACCTTTGTCACCTTCGATCATTTTTAATGTAGAGGATGGTTCAGAAGATGAATTTTAGTGATGTGATTCCTCAAAAATGGGTTTGATACTAGAAAGATATATGAATAAGAGAAATTAGTCATTTAAGTTATAAATTAAAGGAATAGTTTCAGTGCCGATATATAAAACACACACACACACAAAAAAATGACAACATCAATGATAAAAAAAACAAAACATTAAATATTGCATTACATTACATGCTTAGCAGAAAAGGAACCTTTTTTTTTTCTTAAAACCTAAGTGGTAGCAACAATTAATGGAGTGGTTCTGAAAATGTTGTTTTATCCTCATACAGACTAATAATATACATATAATATGTTTGTACTTCTTTGATTACAAAAATATATTATTTAGTTTTCTTATATAGCCCAAAGCCTTCGGTCAACTTATCCTTCCATATTGCTTTTGGGTGCGGACATTTGTGATCTTAGTTGGTTGTATTTTCTTGCACTGAATTTTAGTTAATCATAAATTTTGTCATTTAAAGGTTCAAAATAAATACTGTAAGTATTATTGTATTTTACTGGAAAGTTTAGGCCACCTGTGTCTCTGATTAGAAAAATCAAGCCTTTAACTGTTTGAGTTGAGTTTAGCACTAGTTGTTTAAATCAGAACACCATGTTATCACCATTTATAGAATATTATCAGCTATTTATGTTTTTATTCAGAAGATCTTTATGTTTCTTGCTGCTTTTCTTTTATGCAAACATAATCTTACATTTTGATATAGGACACCAGTGATGGAGAAGATTTATCACAAGCAGGATTACTGTTATATACATTCATACAATTTATCATATCATATTTAGAAGGAATATGAAAATCTGAAAATCTGGATTGATAAAAATTTCACTAGTGTCCTGAGATCAAGCAGCACCTGTCCTAGTCCTTGAACCCTAAGCAGCAATTGTGTGACTCTTGCTTTTCAAGAGAGTACAGTAACGACAAACTGTCCAATTATTTTGTAGAGCTAAGGAGGAAGTTTTTTGTTTTTGCATTTTATTATATTAACTTTGGCTTGCTCTCTTGCGGCTGTGACCAGGAGATGGTTGGTTCTCATAAAAAAAGAAAAGACATCTCTGTTAAAACTAAAAAGCGATTTAAACTAAAAAGAAATAAATATTATACTTATACAGCACTGCATATACACTTTGCACTTTACTCCATATGAATGAGAAACACATTCAAGCTAAACCAGGCAGTCATATTTTTTGGCATACCAGAAAATATAAATAGGATACCTTATATTTATATTTGCGCAGCTGATAAGTATTTTACGTAAATGATGTCGAAAGAGCGACCAGATAATTTGCACTTAAAATATACGGGTGCTCTGTTTACGCTGGCGAAAACTCTGTCAACTCAGCAGACTAAATGTAGGAAGTGGCCCCAAAGGTAGGGCACCCTGATCTAGTTTATTTAATCTAGATATTTGAGCATTTTGGAATCTAAACCCTTGATTCTTTTACATTTTCACATTTTCCAGGGTTTCTACTAACTCCGTTTTTCTGTCAATGTTGTTTGTAGGTTTTTGCTAAAAAAACAAAAAAAAATTTTAAATGTGTATATATATATATATATATATATATATATATATATAATATATATTAGAATAGGACTGTATATATCTTTAATCTAGATATCCTCCTATTCAGTTTCATAGTTTTAAAAATTGTTGAATTTTCTTTTCTTCGTCTCTGTGTGGAAGGCGACAGGCTCCTTGCTGGAAAGTATAATTTCCAAACGCACGGAGTACAAGGAGAACTGTAACAGAACCCTGGCTTCTACTCCATTCCCAGCAAATGGTGAGCCCCTATCAACCAGCAGTCAGACTGATTTATATGAGTACGAACTACGTAAACATCATGTTCCTGTTCTGTTTTAGGAAACTACTGTAAAGGAACTTTTGATAAGTTTGTGTGCTGGCCCCATTCATCTCCAGGGAATGTCTCTGTCCCCTGTCCTCCCTTCCTACCATGGATCACAGAGGGTATTGTTGTCACTAATACTGAATATCACGTATAAAGACACCTTTATTAGACTGTTGTTTCCATGCTTACTTCAACCGTTGATTAATTTGGAATGAGTGTTGACATTTATCATCGCAGAAGCTAGTCTCAGTCAATGGATGTTTGAAACTATGAATATTTTATATTTTTGGAGTGATGTTTGCATTGGATCGGCTCATGCTCAGGGTTTCAAACACCTACAATTTATTACATTTAAATGTTAACACTGAAGAACCAAGATCTGCACTCTGTTTCCAGGTTTTGTATGTAGATATGTATATGTATATATATATATATATTTATATATATATATATATATATATATATATATATATATATATATATATTCCACTTTTTGATAAAGTATTTTACACACTGTTACTTGAGTGTAGTATAAACTGTTATGGGGTCATTATACTTAGAAATGTGCAACCCCATGCACACTTTGTAAAGTTAGTAGAATTAGAGCCAATAATATTTAGTTTTAAAAAAGTATTTATCTATTCATAAACATAAATATACATATGAGATGTGTTCTTTTTAACTTGATTTTTAAAACCATTTTTTGTCAGATGATTTTGTAAACCCATAAAATCCAATTTTTTTAACCTTGCAGTGTGGAGCCAAGCAAAAGAACCAAGCAATCTTTAGTTCTAGATTTTTTAGTATATTACTATGATTTTCTTTAATGCTTTGTGTAATAGAAATTCAACTGATTAAATGCAGCTAAAAAAACAAAGGAATGGCCATTTAAGTTTTGAACCAAAGGAAAGAAATAGATGCTATTTTTAGTTCCTACCAGTTTCCCTCTTATGGAATTCTCCCAGCACTTATATCCTTTAGGTCCCTATGTCACCATTTATTTTAGCTGTCATAAACCAACATTGCTAGAAACAAGATAATGTAAAGCTGGGAAGGTTTCAGTAAAATGGCAGGGAGAGCAGTTATCTTTCTCAACAGAAAGGAGCAACTTAAGAAATAAGTAGTAGGGAAATCATATTTAAATATCAAATCATTTTGGCTTGAATATAAATGTACTCTTTATCAGACCATATTGTCCCAAATTTTAGAAAATTTCTATAAAAAAAAAACATCCTATCTTAAAATCAGTTATTTATGCAGGCCAGTTAGTTATACGTCAGCCTAAACACCTATATTCGGCCAATCATATATCAAAGGTCATCTGTCAATCAAATTTTTCTGGTCATAGCATCTTGATTTATATGTCGCAGCTAATATACGAAACGGTTGAAACAAGAAATATGAATCATTTCCTTTACCAGTGAGTTCCATCCCAGTCTTCACGGGGATGCACGTCTGTGTCTTCAGCAGGCGTAGAGCTAACAGAACTGGCAGCGTTGCGAGGCAAGGGCTCAAACATGTACGGCTGTAGGCCTTCTACACCAAACCAAGCTTCTGCCGCCCTGGCGTCCTCTTCCACGACATCTCCTTCCCCGATTTCCTCCTCTAAATAAAAAATGTATGCGGAGGAGACTCATCCATGACCTCGGACACAAAACTCTCCTCTTGCATTTTTCCTCTGTCCATAGTGTTTCTTGACAGTGTCGTTTCTAAGTCACCAATTTAGTGCTACTTGATCCCAACGGAATTTCCCATTGGGAACCTACTAGTTGCTAACTGGTTCACAAGATGCTTCCGACAAACTGGCCACAACCAAACGTGCTTGCAAACAATCCCACTCCCTTTATAATCGACCAATCACATTCATTTTATTCACTCATGTAACACTCGGAAGAATTTGGAAATTCAACGGTTGGAACATCCGCTTCCCTACGACTTTAAGATTAAACATAAATGATCCAAACATCCTCACATCTCTATCATGAAAATAGCTCAAAGTTAATACACTTGAAAAGATTATGCTTACTGCTACTATATTCTAAATCTAAATGTATCTTGTTGCATCAGGTGGTAACAGGAGAGCACATCGGGAATGCTTAGAGAATGGGAGCTGGAGGCAGTTGGAGAACTCCACAGATCCCTGGAGAGACCATTCTGAATGTTTGGAACACCAATACTTCAAAGACATGGTGGATGGATTTTTAAAGTTTGATTTGTCTTTATGAATTATAATTCAAATGTATTAAAATGATGCTAGAGTTATTTTATTTTTAATTAAATCTCTTTTTGTTTTCAGGAGGATCAAATACCTCGCGACTCTGCCCTCAGGCTCATCTCTGTCATTGGTTATTCGTTGTCACTAGTCTCCCTCTCTCTGGCCACTCTGCTCATGGGCATGCTAAGGTCAGTTCTCATTAGACAAGAAGTTAGAAATTTAACAAGACTTTCTGCAGCTCAACACTAAATGTGAGGAAGAAAGTACTGGGGATAACTTTTAGACACCCAGCTATCTTCCAGCCAAACTTATATTAAAGTATAATGGAATTAACCTTTTTCAGTAAGTGCGCCAATGTATTTAAGTTGTAATTTTCATCTTTGCTCCAGCAGAGCCATGCTGAATAGGCCATTGACTTGCCTTAAATGTATATAGAGTTGGGTGGAAAGGCAGCTGGTTCTCTGTAAGAAGTGATTAATGAGACTATGGAGGCAATTAACTATCACTAACAGCATTATGAAACCACAAAGATGTCCTACCTGTACCTCCATTACTTTAATTTCCTTCTACCAAATGAGCAGCGCCCTTGCATTGATAATGCTGTTAGTGTTGTGCAGGAAGCACCAATTAATGTATCCTCACTCTTCCTGTATCTTCTTACCAGGAAGCTCCATTGCACCAGAAACTACATTCACATGAACCTTTTTGTGTCATTCATCCTGAGAGCTGCGGCCATCATTTCAAAGGAAATTATCTTCCAGCTCATGTATTCCAATTCACCGGATGACGACCATGGATGGAACTTCTATAGCTCAGCTGTACTATGCCTTTTTTATGTACATTTATATATGGACAAAATTGTTGGTACCCCTAATTAAATGAAAGAAAAACCTACAATGGTCACAGAAATAGTCCAAATCTGACTGGAGTAATAATAAATAAATATTAAATAATAAGAAACCAAAATAAGAAAGATTTTTTTTCTACAATTGTGCTGCTGAAGGTGGCTGTGCGTTGGAGTTCTGCAGGCTTGACTCTGATAATCTTTTTTATGAGACCTTTAGTTTCTTTGTTTGTGGATCAGAATTTCCCATTTCTGATGTTTTTTGCTTTTGGTGTTGAATGCTGCAAAACCGGGAGGATTTTTTTTCCCCTTTTTGGATACTTGTTTCAGTGCATACGAACAGCAACCATAGCAAGTTTTACAGCCGAGAGCAGCTAATTAACACCTTTAAAGCTGAGATAACACATCGATTACATCCTCTAATACCAGATGAGTTGAAAAGGTGGCACCAGGGATGCAAAGCAGGAGAAGGGACTCTGGAGGAACAAGAAAATTGAGCCATCTCTTCCATCAATCATCATGGGTAACATGAAATCATTAGGAAACAAGAACCCAGCCATTAGTTGGTTAATGCCATATTATATGTTTTACTAAAACGTGGCTGCAGGATCATATCTCTGACTCCAGCGTCTCTCTCTGCTAGGCTTTCTGATCATAAGAGCAGACAGAGGTTTAAAGAAGACTCAAAAGAGAATTGAAAGGGGGTGTGTCAGTGTTTGTCAATAACAGATGGTGTCATCCAGGCCATGTTACTTTGAAGACTTCTCACTCCAGCCAAGATATTGAACTGTTGGCATTTGGTTTCTGACCATATTATTTGCCCAGAGAGTTTACCAGTGTTCTGGTTACATTCTACCTTCTGCTGTTGCCGACAGTGCATGTGAAGTAATCAGTTTCATTGTTGCTGAGCTACAGAGACAACAGACAAATGCATTGTCTCGCTCTCTGCTAAACTGCCAATGTTCCAAAAGTTTGTCAGCTGCTCTATTAGAGAAAAACAAATCCGGACGTGTTTTATAGAAATTTCAAGGACTCCTGCATGTCTCAAATAAGACCTCCTCTTAGGAAATTAGAATAGAATTCAGCCTTATTGTCATTCCACTGTCACAAGTACAGAGCAACGAAATGATTTCTCTGCATTTAACCCATCCCTTTGGGGAGCAGTGGGCTGCCATTGCGCAGCGCCCAGGGAGCAGTGAAGGGATAAGAGTCTTGCTCAGGGACCCAAGTGGCAGTGGGGGATCTAACTCACAACCTCAGGATTCAAAGTCTATGCCCCAGCCACTCCCTTAATTAGGTCACAATGTCTCTTGCCCACAGTCACATGGACATAATACCCTCCTCTTTCGTTGACACCACTGTTTCTATGAGTTCGTTATCAGCCAAATCAGAAGATCGTGCTGTGCCCTCCGCCTATCACCATCTGTCTCTAAAAGTCAAATGAAGAGGAGCCTAGAGAAACTGAATTGTAATCAGTCACCAGGTAAAGATGGTGTCAGCCCCAGAGTCCTGAAGGCCTGTGGGATTCTACAGCACCTCTGCAACCTTAGTCTGAGACAGGATACAGTTCCAGTGATGTGGAAGACCTTCTGCCTTGTTCCAGTAGCAAAGACGACTCAGCCAAGTGTCCCCATTAACTATAGGCCTGTCGCCCTGACATCCCACATCATAAAAGTTCATAAGAAACCTCCTGTTGGTTCACCTCAGCAAACAAACAAGCAGCTATCAGGACCTCCTGCAGTTTACTTTTCATCATTAAGTTGGAAATAAAGATGCTGTCATAAACCTGCTTCAGCAAACCCCATTTAGACAAAGCAGACAGTACTGGGAGCATCATGTTCTTTAAGTTCTCCAGTGCATTTATTGCAATTCAGCCTGACTTTCTATGTGAGAAACCTCGGAAGGCTAAGGTAGAAACATCAACAATCGCTTGGATTAAAGACTACCTGACAAATAGACCATATTTGTTTAGAGGGGGTTTTACTCTCACCTTTCATTTTTACACTGTACACCTCTAACTTCCAGTACCAGAGTCCTGTAACCTACAGAAATACTCAGATGACTTTCCAGTCATTGGGTGCATCAAAGATGGACAAGAAGCCAAGTAAAGAGAGCTAGTGAACTACTTTGTGACATGGTGTGGAAACATTCATAAATAGGAACAAATTTAATCCTGTTGACATGATGGGAGAAGAAGTAGAGGTGGTGCATACCTTGGTGCTCATCTTGACAATAAACTAGATTGGAAACACAACTGTGAAGGCGTCTACAAAAAGGGACAGAGCAGATTGTACTTTCTAAGTGAGCATAGTTCCTTAGGCGTTGGCAACAAGATGCTTTTGTCTTTTGTGAAGAGTGCGATCTCTTCCTCTATGATCTGCCAGGGTAACAGCACCAGAGCAAATGACCTAAAAAAACTCAACAAGTGAATAAAGAAGGCCGGCTCTGTTCGATGGAACTCCTCTGAAACTTCTGGGGATTAGTTCACAAAGAAAAATTTATCATAAAATTATTAATATTATGTACAATGGTGAACATCTTCTTTAGAAGATATTTAAACAACCAAGTGTCTCCAGTAAAATGCTTCTCCAGATGCGGTACAAGACAGACTGGTACAGAAGATCCTTATAGCCTATAGCAACATTTTATTTCCCTTTGTGATTCATAAAGTATTTATGAATTGAAGGCCTGGGAAAAAAAACTCTGGTACCCCCATTTTTTGTCGTAAAACCTTATGAGGCAATAACAGCCTTCAAACGATTCCTATAATGTTCAGTGAGAACTGCTAAATACCTGCTGCACCTCTCAGTAGGTATTTTGGTTCTCACCTTCTTGAGCAAACTGCTCCAGTTGTCTCTTGGAGTGTTTAGCTGTGTGTTTTCTGGTCATTATCCTGTTGCGAGACTCATGACCCATGACTGAAAGCAGGTTTTCTGAAAATGGGCAGCACATTTATCTCTAGAATCATTTGTAGTCTCAAGATTTACCCTGTACAAGACACCCTATGTTAGATGAAGCAAAGCAGCCCCATAATATAACAGAGCCTACTATAAACTTCACAATAGGGACAGTGTTCTTTTCATGATATGTTTCATTATGCTAAAGATAAATTAAACATATTGGCAAAAAATTACACCAAATAAACAGATATTCTCTAATTTATCCATAGGAGATTCTCCCAGAAGCTTTGTATCTTGTCAATGTTTAATTTGGCAAATACCTGTCTGGCTTTTTTATGATTTGTTTTAAACAATAGTGTCCTACTTAGTCATTTCCCATTTAGTCCATTTTGGCTAAAACAAAAATGGATGCTGTGATCTGATACTAATGTTTGTTGGGGTCCACCTTAAATTCCTAGAGGTGTTTTTTTTTTTTTTTTTTTGTATTTTTTTTTTTTTTCAGGGACTAGTCGTCTCTTTGATTTTTCATCCATTTCCCTCCTGCATCCATGTCCTAGGAGTTTGTTACAGTCCTATGGATCTTAAATATCAACAATCAGTTTGGTAACAGGAACACCAAACTGATTGGAGATGGTCTCACATTCTGCTTGTCTGCAATTTTCTTCTAATTCTTCTGCGACAATTCTTTCCTTCATTTCCTCTGGTCCATGTTGAGTGTGATACACACCATGTCACCAAACAGCACAGTAACTACCTCCAGTCATATATACAGACCCACTGACTGATTGCAAGATAGAAACCTTTGATGCTAAGTAGTGGACACACCTTAATTGAACATGTCCTTTTTGTCATTTGTAGAAATACCATTATTTTTATTCCAGGTCTTTTTCAAGAGTAGATTTCTTAAACTCATTCTTGAATCAAGATAAAACGGCAATGTCTGAATTTCACTGGGTGATTTTCATGGAATTGTTAATTATTTTTATTATTGCTTTTGTAAAATTCTAATTATTTCTGTGACCATTCCGTTGTTGTTTCTTTTTTTCATTAAAAAAGGAGTACCAACAATTTTGTCCACGTGTTTACCTGTGTCCAATGTGTACAGCTTCAGCATGATCTTATTCCTCAACAGATAGGACTACTGTGCAAATTCTCCAAAGTTTGCATGGAGTACTTCGTGGCATGTAATTTCTTCTGGCTCTTGGTGGAGGCCATTTTTCTTCACACACTGCTCTTCACGGCTGTGCTGACCAAGAGATGCCTGCTGAAGAAATACCTGCTGCTGGGATGGGGTAAATCCTCCATGCTTTCATACCTAATGCTGATACACCACAATTTCCCCACTGTGGGACAAAATAGGATTATTCTATTATTTTCTACGCAGGTTTTGTTAATGGGAAGGACACGGCAGATTAAATCTTGGGTATGCTGGGGCTTTAAAAATGTGCATCTATAGTGTGTTTGTACTATTATAATCTATTTAGGTGTCATTAGCCTTCTTGTTGAAAAATCCCCATCAACTGCATGTTGTTGAAATTTTTGCAGCACTGTCGGTAGGTATGGAAACCTTTCACATTTAAACCGATATGCTTAGAGAGGGATTTTTACTGGAACTTAATGATACCGATTTTCTGTACCATTGTGTGTATTTGTGAGTCAATACATTTGATTTGTTTAATAATAAAATCTCAAAACTTTAACCTCATCTTAAACTCTAAATTATGATACACCTGCCTTACAGGCAGTGTCACTGTTGACACTGACATCACCAAATGTTTTGAAAATTTCATCTCCAAAAATGCAGGACAGGTAACAGTTCTGAAAGCAGGAGTTGTAGCCATAGATATTAGGCTGCCACCTTTAAGCTTTGAGACAAAAAAATGTGTGGTTAAATAGGTCCACCCTCAGATATAGGCTTGCTTTAAATATAGCAGTAAAAAGTGTAATCTGCATTGCATTTAGAAAAGTGGATCCATACTTCAGAGCACTTTTTATGAGTCATGCTTTTAATGTAGACTGTAAAAGTGGCTAAGACGTCATTGTGTCCATGCAATGCTGTTTTCGTCAATTCTTCCTCTCCCTCAGTGTCTCCATGATGGGTTTAGATACAGAGACATGGTACTATTTGATTTTACATAAATGGATACTGATGGAATTAGGTGGAATCTGGCACCTATCCCTAATTTTACGTGCACAGATTTCATATCAAAGGAGTCTTCTTGATATTATTTACACCCTGATAATCAATACAAAATGAATTAAATGATGCTTTATTATAACAACATTCAGAGGTTTCCTCTCCTTTTAATGAACCCACATTTGGTTGAGAAGTTGTAGCCAATTGGGTGAATTGATTCACGTTACAGTGTCGGCAACGGTAATTATAGCAACACAAATGCAGGTTGAGTGACTCATCTGCAACAAAAGTAGAAGCTGTAAATATTTTCTATCTGCTACTATAGAGACATAATAAACGGACATGGTATACCATTTTTTCAATTTTATGTTTTTAAGCTAATTGAAGCTTAAAATAGGGTCGAATCTGACGTCCACTGTTCTGAGGTTTAAATGCAGCGAAAAGTCTTTTGACTGACTTATCAAAGAGGACCGAGCTATCTTTTTAATGTTTATTCTGGTTATGTTTTTGAAAATAATTTTAATTTGTGGGATACAGGTTTAAAATACCAATGTACTCTTGGAAAACAGCAACTCTTGCATCTGTCACTTTCCAGGAACTCCAGTCCTGTTCGTGACTCCGTGGACAGTCGTTAAAATTGTATATGAAAACAAAGGGTGAGTTTCTTAATTAAATGCATCGATTTAAATTTCTCATTACACTATTAAACATGCTTACTCCACATGTATTTTTCTGTTAAGGTGCTGGTCAATCGTGAACAGGTGGTTCTGGTGGATAATGAAAGGCCCGATTACTTTATCAGTTCTGGTAAGAATGTTTCTCAGGCACTTTTTCAGCATGCTATCCAGATTTATAACAATTATTATATGTTTGTATTGTGTGTACAAACTGAAATCTACAACGTTTCTATCTGATTCAATGTTGCATTTCATGTTCACTGGTATTGTGATGATACAGTTATGCAGCTGTATTCACACAGAGATACGATACTATTTTAAACTAAATGCATTTTTACATGCAAAGTTTACTGTTATTTGTCATCTTAAAAAAGATAGTCCAAGTGCAATACATTTAAATATACCATTAATGTATTTTGCAGGTAATTTTCATTATATTCATCAAAATTCTGAAGCTGTTGTTGTCCAAGCTGAAAGCCGATCAGGTGAAATTTACCGACTACAGATACAGGTACTCCATCCTCTATACCCAGTGTTACACGGACATTTAGTCAAAATGTTTGTAGGTTCCTCCTTTTGATTTGCTCTCACAATGTTAATTCCAAATCCCAACTTCAAACATCCCACACATAAGCTGGAGACATTAACGTCACTGAGTGATGAATCCCTCGATGCACTTCAGAAATTCCTTTCTATCTTTATTCTCCTTTCGTCTGAACCAGTATGAATTTATGAAGTTTCTTCTGTTTTATTATTAGGAATAGTTATATTATAACAAATCTAATTCCCTGGATCTTGTATTTATACCCTTCAGTTTAGCCAGAGCAACGTTGGTGCTGATTCCCCTGCTGGGACTCCATGAAGTTGTCTTCCATGTACTAATAGATGAATGTGTGGAGGGTAATAGTCGCTATGCACGCAACTTTATCAACCTAACCCTAAGTTCCTTCCAGGTAACATAATAATAAAAATCATAATGCACATGTTGCTCATTTGTGTATGTTCACAAAAAGCTCTAAAATGTTCTCTTTGCATTTTCAGGGCTTCCTGGTTGCTGTGCTTTACTGTTTTGCTAATGGAGAGGTATTGTCCTTTTTGGGTTGTTGTTCTACATTAGTATAAAAAGTAGGAATAGTTGAGTTGAGGGAAACAGTACATGTATTCGGCAGAACCATGATGCCAAGCTGAACTATTTGAGAAAAAGTCATTCCTTTTCATTCCTAAATATGAAAAGAGTATTTTTTTTTTACATATTCATTAAATACATTTACATTAATTGATATTAGATTTTAAAATAAAAATTTTGCAAAGATGTGATTCTAGAATAACAGTTTCACGGTTTTAAGCTTAAGCTAAAATGTCACAGTATCAAGGTGGTAACAAATAAATATAAGGAAATACAGCATAAGATGTTTTTCATGTCTGTTCTTATAGATCATAAACACAAGAAGCTGAAAGAGGTTGTGAGCTTAGAAAATTGTGCGCTTAGATGAGTGCAAGATAAATCACAGTAATCTGTGGTGCATTTTAGTTCCTACATCCTGCAACAAACAATCTTTTTTAGCACCTATTTTTTTCTTTCTTGTCCACTAAGTAATATTGTAGAGGCCCACAGATAGCCAAGGGGCAGTGTGCTGCAGCGACCTGGGGAGGATTTGGACATAATTCCTGTTTGATTTATGTAATGTTAGAGGAAACTGTTCAAAAAGCATGATGAAAAAATGTATTGGAGCTTTTTTTAGACTTTGCTTTGCCTCGTATCCAGTAGTCTAGTTGTAAAGAAAAACAAGGGGGATCGTAGAATTTTTCTGTTTTTTTTTTTAAAGCATACATAGACTAATTGTCATGATCTTATCTAAAGCTCGGACCCACATGCAGAGAAACCAATTCAGAGAGACCAGGGAAAAGGTTTAACAGGTTTTATTGAAGAAGTTAAACAGAGGGTGAAGTGTTGCTCTGAACACTGCTCAACCGGAACTGAAAAGTGAGGGGAAGACACAGCGGTTAGTTCAGGCTCAGTGGGGAAATTGACTCATAAACTTGGAGAAGAGGATTTGGTTGCCGACTCACGTTTCCAGAGAAGTAGTTGAATCCTTGACTCCTGTCTGTGTGCCGTAGTTCCAGTGTTTGTCTGATTCGGTGGAGGGCGGAACAGGGTTTACCCAGAATGCGGTTGATTGTTGGTGAACGGAGAAACTGACTGTCACTCAGATTTCCTGCGGTACTTGAACGGGTCGTAATGGAGAATAATCCCTTTCTCAATGAGAAGCTCAAACGATCTCTTGGGGAAAAAGGATCCAAACCTCCTGTTTGAACCCCAGCTCAGTTTGAAGCTCAGATGATCCTTCCAGGGAGAGAAGGTCAGCGAAATCCAGTTTGCAGGATGACTTCCTGCCAAGAGGCAAAGACCAAAAACAAAGTTAAACTCAGGTTGAAAAAAACTCAGCTTGACTCAGAAAAAACTCAGCTTGGCTAGAGTACCCTAAACTGGCAAACACTCTGGCGTCAAGGTAGTGGCAGTCAGCAGCTTAAGAAAACTCCGTTAAACGAGGAAACCATCAGCCGGTGTGTGAGGAGGCGGACCAGAACCAGGCGCCTCCTGCTGGTGGAAGGGAGACAAACACAGAAACACAAACAGAAAAACAGGAGTCCTGACACTAATTAATGTAGTCTATTAACCTAAAGCAATATGCATGATATGGTTGTTCCATGTCAGGTACACCTGTCATTGACCTAGACCAAGGCAACTTTCCGTTGTCCCTGGACTTGCATGGCTATCACTGCCCCTACATAGTTAGGGAAAATGCAGAGGACACATTTCCCACTGGATCAGCTTCATAGTCATGGTAGGCCACTTCTTTGATTTTATTTATATTGCTCAGGCTACTCGTAAGCCCACAACATCTTGAATTGGCAATATAATTGCCATTACTGTTAATATATAGTGGAAATTTTACACATTCAGTAATAAAATGTCACAGGGGATGTTATGGGGGGATGTTCATTTAAGAAGGGGGGTGATTTTTAAGATTTCTTTAAGAAGGGGGATGCCATCCCCCCTCAACTCGAGTACTGCTTGTACACTGGAAAAAATCTAAATCTAGATAAGTCAATTCCTTTCTTAAAATAAGTGCATTTGTTCTTAAATTGAGAAGGTAAAAGATACATTTTGCAAATGGAACAAGATGATTTATATTTAAAATATGAAAATACAATTGCATTGTCTTATTTTAAGTGCATTTTATCTAATTATCTTATTTTAGGACTAAGAATACTAATTCCATTGGAAGATCATCTCATTTACCTACTCAAATGAATGGTAAATACACTTAATATAAGACATTTTTGCTCATTTCTAGATTGTTTTTGCAGTGTATCCCTTGTTTTTTATAAAAGCAGAAAGTTTCAATTCTAAATAAAATCAGTTTGTCAAAGCATTAGAGCTTTTAGTTTAATAGAGCCATATAAAATAATCCACGTATTTTCTGTTATTTTTCTCTGCAATAATGTAATCTGTCCAACAACATGTATGCAACATGACTTCAAAAAGTTCCAGTACACAAAAAAATCTTTCAGTTCATCGTTGAAACTTTGCAAGGACCTACCAATTTTAGAGCGATTTCAGAACTGTTGCTTATTTGTACAATTTATAGATAAGGATAAGGATTTTTTTTTATTGTTCTTTACATAGGGAGAATAATAAAGAAATCATGTTTGTTTTTTCTTACCCTGTAGGTCCAAGCTGAGCTGAAAAAGCGCTGGCAACTGTTTTTGTTCACGAATCACTTCAAGGTCCACACCTGTTTTCGTGGCACAAATCTCAAGAACCTTTGGAAATGTACTCGACGGCAGCACAGAAAGCGCTCTCGACAGTTTGATTCTTACGGCAGAAACACCACTTTGAAGGCTCGCCCACATCTCCTTCAGGTGGCTGTGCAAGGAGGAGTTGGCCCTCTTGGACGGGGACAGATTAGAGGCCATGGACTCGAGGGCTTCGAATCACCAGGGCTTGACTTTCTCACCAGGAAGAGTCTCTCCAGTAGCGATGGAGAGATGACCCAAGGGGAGACCATGGAGGAGATCCTGGAGGAGAGCCAGTTCTAAACCCAGTTGGTTTATAGGTAAAAATCAAAACTAGTGGGACTGAGAAAAATTAATATATTGGTTTCAGTAGAAGCAGTCAACTTTAGGGCTGGAGAAACACCTTGTTTTCTACCAAGACATGGACCCCAGGAATTATATTAATCGGAGGTTTGATATAGTAAAGACTCTAACCCCAACTGTAATCATTTGTAAAAGAAAAAAAAGTAATGATATTTCCATTAAGATAAGCCCTGCTTCACAATGACTAGAACTTTTACCCATAAACCACTTAATATAACCACCGCTGTGACAGTTTCATACCCCTCACCCACTGGCAGAAAAACTTCTTTAAACCAGGGAACATCTTCTTTTAGTAGCAGTGGGAACAGCTCACTGACTCGTGTCTACCCAGGTCAAACAACTTAGCAAGCGACCCACATTAAAATCACCTCGCTCTGATCGGCATGCTGTGGGAAACCAGAACCAGGTTGACTCGCTAATTTACATGACACCATTAATCGCAACGTACGAACATCAACATACATCTAACAAGCCCAAATAACTCTGTTTACATTCGATAAACATGTCGCAGCACTGGTGAGAGGGATTCAGACAGATAAGAAGCAAAACCCTAAAGCACAGAAGCCATGCAGCTTGCCAGCGAGGGGTTAAACCCAGCTTTTTTCGCCAATGGGAAGGGAGCCAAATTCCGATTGTTAGTGGGTCGACCCATGTTTGAAAAACCTGTGTTAACCTGCAACTTTTAGTGGGAAAGAGGCGTCAGTATCGGTTATAATAGAACACTGCTCGAAATCCCCACCTCCACCTGTAAATCATTCTATGACTAGCCCCCTAAGTTTCTTTGAAAAGCAAATGGGTGTTCACACTGAATGCAGTGTTTGATCTGGTTTTATTTCTAATGACATTTTATTGCTGCGCTGAACAAAGCACATGTGAATCCCACTGTTGTGTGAGTCTTCTTGCCCAGCATGGTCAAATTCAAATTTGACTGCAGCCCCCGAGCGGCCAAGTGAATGCACACTGCAAAAACTTGAAGTCTAAGTAAGTTATTTTTTCTTAAAATAATTGTATTTTTTTCTTGAATTGAGGGGGAAAGTTTAATTAATGGTAAATACGCTTAATTTAAGAAATTTTACTTATTTTTAGGTCAGTTTTCATGTGCAGCCTGAAATCAGAAAGATTAGGAAGGAAATTGAAGGACTGGAAAAAAATTGAAATCTCGATAAGTCATTTTTTTTTTTTTTAAGTTCTTGGATTGAGGAGGTAAAAGAGGCATTTTGCCAATGGAACAAGACAATTTTCATTTAAGATAAGAAAACACAATTGCATTGTCTTATTTCACGTGCATTTTATCTAATTATCTTATTTTAAGGGTAAAAATACTCATTCCATTGGCAAACTGTCTCATTTACCAACTCAAATTAAGAGTAAACACCTAATTTAAGACATTTTTACTTATTTCTAGATCATTTTTCCAGGGTTACATGATGCAGCCACAGCCTCTTTTTCCTTGCTGCTCCAGTTCTTCTAAGCATGATGGCTAGTGCTACCACTTTACTGCTGACAAAAAAACAAACCCTAAACCCTCCAGCCAGTGCAATGCTGAACCCTGAGCACAGTAGCAGGTTGTCCTCTGCCAATCTTAGGTAGCAGAAGGACAGCATAAAAACATCTCAGCCTTGGCTCAACAGTATTTTGTGAAAAGTTGATTTCAGTGTACATTAATTTCTGCAAAAATACTGACTTATGAAATTAATAGAGGAGAAACTTGGAATTTGTTATGTTGGAGAATGCCTCTGGTGACAAATACAGTACTCAATGGTTCCTTCTAGACCAGGGGTCAGCAACCCAAACTGTTCAAAGAGCCTTATTGAACCAAAAAAATAAAAACAAATCTGTCTGGAGCTGCAAGAAATGGAAGTTATACAACAGCCTCATATGACAACACAGGCTCTAAGCCTATTAGCCACTATAAAAAAAGACTACGTGGGCTTAGAATTTTTCAAAAACCTCCACGGAGCCACAAGGGAGGCATTAAAGAGCCGAATGCGGCTCTAGATGTTCAGGTTGCCGACCCCTGTTCTAGTGAATGTGACGAGACTTTAAATTGAAAGCCAACAGTCAAAGCCAGATGGTGTTTTCAACCTTAACTAATCACTTCAACTTAAGGAACTGAACCATCACCATCCTCTGAAGATCTGACCTTTAATTATTCACTATTTATTTATTTTTTAAGTGTTCTTTCTTTTTGTTACAACTGAATTTTGAAATTTCTTTCTTTTCTGGTGCTGCTATGCCTCCTTGAGATCAACCATGAAAAGAGTATCCCTCAGTAACAATCAACGAAAAAAAAACAAACAATTCCAATTAATTTAGATGTAAACTTTCCCAATGGGTTTTTGCAGTTTCTTAAGTCAAAAATGATTTTAGACATTCCTTGAAAAAAACTCACCATTTGTATAACAGGTCCATTAGGTAGTTAACGCGTGATAATCACTTCACATCAGTATTTGATTGACATTATACAAAAAAAAAAAAAGCATCATAAAAAAAAAGTGTATTTTCTTACAATGTCCAAATCTATCAAAGGGGCAGTAACATTAGATTTTATGGTTAAAAACTTAGTTGTTTTTTTTTTGATAGTTTGTTTTTATAGACTGTCTCGCTGCTTGATTGTTGTTGTTTTTCTCTTGTACTAATGCATCTGTCTGTTTTGCTCTTACATAGAGTAATGTACAGAGGAGCTATTCTTATGTGAATAATGTTGTTAACAAACATATTTAGCACATGTACCAATACAGATGTGAAACATGTACTGTGATTTTAAGAATAATACCTAAAAGCATTTAAATATTGAAAAAGAGTCAAAAACTTTGAATCTTTTCAATGCATTTTTTTTTTTTTTTACTTTTTTACTGTATTGATAAGAGTGAAGTTATGTAGGATTTCACAGGGATCTCAGAGGGCTAGTGTGAAGTTTTTTAAGTTTCCATGAGATAAATATCTGTATCGTATCCTATTGCAGAGATATACTTAATCTTTAATAATGAGGGAATTTAAATATATATTCTTAAAAGTTTTGGACACTAAGTCGCTAGATGTAGATATAGGTAGATATGTCAGCTGATTTATTGTTGGGAATCAGATGATTTAAAGTCTGTGGGGATTGTTTTCAAACAAACGTGAACTCTGAAAGCACAGAAACATTCATGCTTATACAAAGAGAGAGGGACAATAAAATCTTAGACTGTTATAATTGTTTAATATAGTGTTTTATCCTAATGAAATACATTTTTTTTCAAAGGATCAAATTAACAACTAAGAAAAATCATTATTAGAGTGCAGACCTCCACCAAGTAGCTCATAACCCCTAACATATTGTGACCTCCACTCTAAGTTAATACCTGTATTCACAGAATCTTTCAAACTATTCCTGAAACAAATCATCACCAAAATAAAATAATTGGTTTTGTGAGTCACAGTATGCACCTTTTCTGAAAATATCAGTAAAATCTGTCCATAACTTTTCAAGGTTTTTCAAAAACAGACAGACAGACGAACCAATGCCAATGAAAACAAAGGTCCTTGGCGGAGATAAAAATTGTGTGTTTGTTTCCTTGTCCTGTTAGCACCCAACTCATGGTTCATATATAAAATATTTAATGGCACAATAAACAAAGAATTGCTTTAATTGGTGGAAATATGCCCTGGATTATCTTACACACTGGAAAAAATCTAGATCTAGATAAGTCGTTATTTTATTTAAGTTGAGTGCATTTGTTCTTGGGTTGAAGGGGTAAAATAGGCATCTTGCCAATGGGGAAAGAACATTACACTTAAATTAGGAAAACACAATTGCATCGTCTTATTTCAAGTGCATTTTATCTAATTATCTTATTTTAAGAGTAATATTAATTCCATTGGCAAACTCATTTACCTACTCAAATTAAGGGTAAATACACTAAATATAAGAAATTTGACTTATTTATCTATCGTTTTTCCAGTGCAATGAGTCAAACTGGTTAAAAAAGGGACCATTAAGGAATATGTTGATGGTCTAATTTGTACCCAGTATTCTTTGTTACCTTCATAGAAACTATGCAAAACTTAAGGATAGAATACGGCTGGTTTCCCATGTCGGGTTTATTCCTGTGTCTAGAGGCCCACTTACTGGCCATCACTGAATTGCCTCAAAACTCAATGGTCTCAAACCCTCAGGGGTCAGAGGCAACCAATACTGTTATAACAGCCAATAAAGTAATACCAGCCAATAACGGGATTTTGCCCAGCTTAAATTTAATGCAACCAATGATGTAATCCTTCAACAATAATAGAACTGTCTGTTTTTTTACCTTATTGCTGCATCGTGAAAAAAAAGAGATGAAAAAGTGTTAGCCGTGCATGATGGTGTATACGGTATTATGCTTCAATAGTTCTACTTCTGGCACCTTTTGCTAATCAAAAATAATTGAAGAAGGAGGACAGATCCTCATATTTATTCACTGCACTGCATTTAGAAGACAGATTTGACCAATAGGCAATTGTGCATTATTAAGGACATTGGAGGCCATTTTAGGAATTACAAATATTAATTTAGGTTGCTGCTTATTCATTTATTTATATAAACTCACTGTTTCATGTATGGGAGAATATTTAAAAAAGAGCAGTGTTGAAGTTGGTTTGTTCAGAAGGAGATTAGTGATCACATGATCAACAAGATCACTAATCAATAACCAATATGAGTGTAAGTTGCCATCATATCATGTTCCTATAGGCGCTCCTTCCCTAATGGATGAGATCAGAAAAAAGTCAAAGGGTATTATGTATAATGTGCAATCTAAACAACTTATAAATTGTATCTAACCTTTACAATGTCAGAAATGGTATAATCTGTGATCTACTGTAAGCATCTGTAACCTGTTGTCAAAAACTATGAAATCACTTTTTTACATGTTCAGATAGTTATTTTACTCTAAAGCAAAACAAATTTCATTACAGCATCGTGGTAAACAAGTAAACATTCTCACTTTCAAAGAATTGTTTTTTTTTATACATTCTAGGTAAAAAAAATTATGGACTTTCCATATATTTTCAGTTTAACCACTTAAATTAAAATAAGAGTATGGAAAGCAACTGTACATTTAGACTTGTCAATCTTCTCAGAGGATAATAAGTTCCTTCCTTCCTTCCTTCCTTCCTTCCT